ATGGTGGAGAAGACCCCAAGAACCTCAGAAGAACCTTCTGTGAGGGTCACCAAGACCCCAGGAGATGAGAAGGAACCTCAGGAACCTTCCAAGATGGTGGAGAAGACCCCAGGAACCTCAGGAGAACCTTCCCTGAGGGTCACCAAGACCCCAGGAGGTGATGAGGAGATCCCAAGATGATGGAGAAGACCCCAGGACATGTCAAGGAACCTCAGGAACATCTCAAAATGGTGGAGAAGACCCCAAGAACCTCAGGAGAACCTTCTGTGAGGTCACCAAGACCCCAAGAGGTGACAAAGGGGACACGAGGACGGGCCACCAGGATGGAGAAGACCCCAGGAACATCCCAAGATGGTGGAGAAGACCCCAAGAACCTCAGGAGAACCTTCCCTGAGGGTCACCAAGACCCCAGAAGATGACAGAGGGGACACGAGGACGGGCCACCAGGATGGAGAAGACCCCAGGAACATCCCAAGATGGTGGAGAAGACCCCAAGAACCTCAGGAGAACCTTCCCTGAGGGTCACCAAGACCCCAGAAGATGACAGAGGGGACACGAGGACGGGCCACCAGGATGGAGAAGACCCCAGGAACATCCCAAGATGGTGGAGAAGACCCCAAGAACCTCAGGAGAACCTTCCCTGAGGGTCACCAAGACCCCAGGAGGTGACGAGGAACCTCAGGAACATCTCAAGATGGTGGAGAAGACCCCAAGAACCTCCCCGAGGGTCACCAAAACCCCCCAGAAGATGACCCAAGGGGTTGGTTGGTTGGGGTGGGCCCTTCCTCCCCTCCTCTTCCTCGCCGGGATCGGGTCCGTTGGGGGCCTCCTGGAAGAGGATCTTCTTCATCTTGCGGTACTGGAGGTTGTCCAACTCCCGGACGGCGTCTTTGGTGCGTTGGATGAGGTCCAGGACCACCCTCTGGGGCCGCTCTCGCAGGAGGAACCGATGCTGGAGAAAGGGACAACCAAAAAGTTGGGGGGACACTTGGGGGGCAGAGGGGACGTCCCCCCCCCCGCCGAAGGTGGGGACACCCCACGGTGACCCCCACCCTGCCCCCCAACCGACCTTGAGGAGCACCTCGGAGGTGGGACGATCGGGCGGGATCTTCTGAAGACACGAATCCACGAAATTGCGGAAATATTCCGACCTGCCCCCCCCGGGAGGAACCCGCCGCCCCATAACTGAAGGTAGTTATGGAGTCTAGGGGCTCTGCCCCACATCTCTAGGGCGGAGCCGCGCCTCCCGGCAGGAAGGCGGGGGAGGGGGAGAAGGTTGATTGGTGGGAGGAGGACGGAGCTCACCAGTGATTGGCCTGGAGGACGGGGGACTCGTTC